AAAATTTGCATGAATTAGAACTCAATTCAAGTTTGTCTTAAATCTTAAGTGCACTTAGCTAAGTTTTAACCTTCAAGTCTTTTATGATAATTATAGTACTTTCTACACAACATGGGATTTCATTCCCTAAAAGTTTTCATGGAGCTCTTTCTGAAGATTATTGGAGTATTTTAAGTAAAAGGCCAAACATATTATTTTAAATAGAAAGCTTATGTGCTATTCACCATGTTTCATGTTTAGAAATTGGCAGAAGCCAGTCAGAAAATTAATGTTTTTATAGCTATATTTGTTTGCAAGGGGATTAGGTCTAATGGATTGCCTAAGATTTAGCTGCCTTAATTTGAAACATTATTTCTCCACAAGCAGAAACTCAGCACCATTCTCTTGGATAATTACACTTAATGGTCAAATATATCAGCCTAAGCCCTTTAAGATAAAGTCAGTATGCAAATTCTTCTAATATCACTGCTGCAGAGTGTTGCTCTCCAAAACCAGGCTGAGGCAGATATCTGGGGAAAGTAATGCCTCTGGCTGGTGTAGTTCCTCCAAGAGAGCACATCTGCCAAGATAAAGATAGTTTGCCTGCTCAGTCACAGAGGTCCCCAATCACACCCACAGTACTTCTTCGTTTGGGACAAAGTGACAAAAGCATAAATTATGATTTGTGTCCAGAGTTTTGGAGGAGCAGGGATTTTGACTCTTACTGGCCCCCTGACAGAAAAGCAGAGGTGAAAATATTCCCTTTTCTGATCTCTAAAACCAGACTAATTAGCTATGTCACTCTATAAACTAGGAGATGACACTTATTAAAATTTACCTTTCTGGCACAGGTCAGAAGCAACAGGGTAAGATACAAACCTAGATATCTACCCTATAATTGGGATATAAAAATTAGGTACTATTGGACTGGATAGAAAGTCAGTAATAAATATGAATGTGGTTTCATGCAGGAACTAATGGCTTTGCTTTTTACAATGCCCATGGAAAACAATAGTTTTTTAATATTGTCTATCTACATGATTTATATTTCATGCTAGTTCACAAAGGACTCTGGTTAGTATGTGATTTATAGTTGGAGCAAAATAATTGTCTGAAGCCTAGCTGAAGGTAGGCTTTCAACACATTAATAATACATTAGCTAATGTTTCTTTCTTGGCATTGCCTATGCAAATTTCTATTAACATAATAAAAATTACTGTTTATTTTAGATTGGAGCAGCCAAACAGCCTTTAGGTGAGAACATGCTTTTTATCAGGTGTCTGGAATACATACTAACTGCCATTCTCTGATAAACTTTTAACCAGAGCTTTTCCTTTAGTCTCAGCCAGTATTTGGTCAGGGAAGTAGAGGGAGAAACAGCTAGAAATTGACAGGAGCTCTCTGTGCTCCTCTTTGACAAGTGTGGTAAAAGTCCACCCTAGCTAGAAACTTCAAACACTGAAAACCATCACTGGAAAATTATTCATGAATGTGAATCATTCACAAACAGTGGACATATAATTTCAGATTTAAAATATATACTGCCTAAATTGGTTCATTTTGTCAAATAATCACAGGTGAAGATAATTTCATTCAAATTAATTACTTTCTGTCAGAGGCAAACAGCAATACATATTGTCTGTCCAAAATAGTATTAGATTTGATTGCACTTATGTTAGGTAGATCAGAAATTAACTTCTCTGCTTGAAATAATTTGTGACTTGATTACCTGCTGAATCATTTCCCTTTCCAAATGATGATTTCACACCAGCAGCCATATAAAAAAACATCATATTTTTGCAAATATATAAGGCATTTATTCATGGCAATGTATTCTTCAGAAGGAATCATACTCTGTCTTCCCTGACACTGCCCACTGAGTTTGTACCTGTTGAGTTTCTGATACCATTTGACTTCCTGAGATTTCTGAAGAGACAGAGCTTTTGGCATGACTGCTTTGAGGAATCTTCCTTTGTAAGTTTTGATTTTCTCAGCAAATAGAATGCATGCATGTCATATGAACACAAGAGCATTTTTGTGGGGAAGTAACAAGACAGTTTGTCTGTATTCCTGTGATTCAGAGTGGCCTTGCTAGGCATTTGTGCCCCAAGCTGCCCATGGGACTCATATGCAAATGAATATTTGATTATTCTGTCTGGTGCTATACAAAGCAGCTGAAAATAAATATCAGACTGATCATTTTATAAGCTCAGGCTGGCTAATTTACACTCTGGAGACTGTAGAATGAAAATGCTTTGTATTTTACACATATTTTCCTTATCCTTTATTGTATTTTTGTTGTGTTTTATTGTAATAAAACAAGTTATAACAACGCAATTCATAAATGGATTTTAAAGAAAAATACAGAAAAAAATAAATAATTGGAGAAAAATCTGTTGAAAATTCCTATTAGCTATATGATTATTATAAGTCAAAACAATTTTCCATTTTTGTTATATGATAAAACAATATACTTAAGAATAAATGGATGATTAGCTATGGAAATATATCACCTTCTTTAATTTCATTGGCAAGGAATTTTCCACTGTAGAGTTCTGACAAGACATGCATGTTAGGGAGGTGACACAAATTCTGCTGCATCCTTACTGCAGAAATTGGAAAACTAAAGAGTGCCTTGGAATGCTGTGTGATCTGAAACTGCTGCTCTTTCTGAATGAAAAACAGAGCAATTGTAAAAAAAAATATATATATATATAAAAATATATAAATATATACATAAAGATTGCATTACTGCATTAGTTATTAGTTCTATCTCTGTTTGAGAAAACATATAATTTTTCTCAGATCCTACAAGTCCATTTTTGTGTAGCTGAGAGGTGGTGAAGAGGGGGCAGGGACTGCATGTGAAACCAGTTCTACAAACGTACAAATCATTCAGGGTTAATCTGTAAGGAAAATGTCTTTTTGTCAGTTAATTGAATAGGATTATGTACTTTTCTGGTTGGCAACTGAAAGGAAATGTTCCTCTCCTTTTTGATCCTTCAAGAGCTTTCTGTACTTTAAACAATCACTAGTCTCATCTTGAACTAAGCTTTTGTTTAATATGTGGCAAGGTGTCTTGAAAGAATTCTCTTGTAGGCATATCCCAGTTTTCTCCATAAAAATCACTGAATATTCTGACTTCACATATCTTTAAAAAAGAAATTAAGGAGGAAGTAATATTCTGCCCAAAAGTAGGAGTTCAAACGCATCCTTTTGACCCTTCACTAGAAATACCAAGGAAGCCACAATTATATATAGGCTAAGTATTTTTCTCTATTCCTTCAGATGACTATATCTTCTATTAAAAAATGCATAATTATATAGAAATTTTTGTTTGGATAAATAAAATGCAGAATCTCTATTCCTAGCAGTTGTTCCAAAATTTGCATAATTGGGAACTGAGTTGCTAGAAAATAAATGGATAGGTAAACTTCCATGTTCTTCACTAATTGCTATTAAATTAAGGAAAAAAGTTTGGGTACAAATAATAAGGGTTATTCTAGGGAAAAGGAATTCTCTTGGCATAGTCTTGTAATTTTCACACTCACTAGACTTGAATGTAAATCTAAAAGCAGTCAAAGAAGATGCAAGATCATGATGTTAAGATTCTGTTTTGTTTTGATATTTTTAAATGGGATACCCCGCCCAGTTGATAGTGGACTAGCAAAAATAATTGCGTACCCAGTAGTACCCTTTAGGTACTGGAAGAGTACTACAAGGTCACCCTGAAGCCTTCTCTTCTCCAGGCTGAACGACCCCAACTGTCTCAGCCTTTCCTCATAGGAGAGATTCTCCATCCCTCTGACCGTGTTCATGGTCCTCCTCTGGTCCCTCTCTAACACGTCCATGTCTTGTCTATGCTAAGGACTCCAGAACTGGACACAGTATTCCAGGTAGTTTTACAAAGTTACAAAGTTTTCCCTTATAATTCCACCACCCAAGCCCTGTAATAATTTTTCTAGATTCTACCTTTCCTATTTGCTGCAAGGCTAATCTGTAATGTTGTTGATTTTGAAAATCAGGAATAAATCTAACAAACTTTCAACTACAGAATTATGTTAGAATTGTGTTCTATCACCCCAGCCTGGAGCACACCACATCCTGCAAATTCCTGTTTCAGAAAACCTCGGGGCAATGGTGCAGTAGAATGTAGATATCCAGCAAAAGAGTACATGAAGCTTTTGTTAAGCTTATCATACCAATCAAACTTTTTCCACGGAAGGCATTTATTGAGCACAATTTTATGTTACAATAGTTATGCACTATCTTGTCAGTCCCATATATCTGTAGTTTTTCTTTCTCAAGCAGCTTGGGTCCATTCTTGTCCATTCTACTTTATATGTAATTAAATCAAATAAAATGTCTTCGGTTTTCTTCCCCTTCCTAATGTCTCCTAAACATTATGTTTTCTTCAGAAGTCATTCTTCTGCTAGGTCCACCTCAGTGAGTAGTAATTAAACACATGGTCATCACTGCGGAGAGCACAGAAAGCCTATGCGTGACAACTAATTTTTCAACTTCAGATGGATTTGTGCCTGCCTTTTCTTTTTTCTTCCTTCACTTCTGTAGCTTACCTATTGTTTCATTAAGTTTGTTGTACTGACACAACAGCACCGCGTTTGCTGATGGGCGTCTACGCGGCTTTCCGAATGCACGAGGCTGAAAGATGCCCTCTCGGGCCGTGTTCCCGAATCTGCCACCGGAGCCGGGATGCCGCTGCCGCAGCCGTCCGCCAGCCTGCAGAAAAGTGGGCAAAACCGGGGCGGCCGAGGAACCCGCCCGCCCCGCGTGTCACGCCCGACCTCTGCCGGGCCGAGGGGCCCCGCGCCCCCTCCCCGGGGCCCGGCGGCGGGCGGGGGCAGCGCCG